TCGGGACGCTGCCCGGAGCCTGGGGGAGAGGAGGGAGCCGGGGCGGGGTGGATGTTCCTCCTCTTGGCAGGGGAATTTAGATAGAGCTGTGCCTGACCCTGGAGCGTCCTTGGGGGGCTCAGGCAGTGACTGTGCCGCCTTCCCTTACTAAAGCCGTTCACAGGACAGGCTTGACCTTTTTAAAGATTTTGAGCTATTATTGTTGCAAAAATGCTGTAGTTTAGACTAGGGAGGCGAGATAGGGGAGGAGCAGGAGCCGATGGGCGAGGGGAGAGCAGGAAGGTTGTGCGGATGCTCCCGGGGCAGCGCTGCTCGCGGCAGCCCGGCGGCCTCGGCCAGAGACCGAGTTGGCCCCGTGGGCTGGGCTTGAGCCTTCCCGTAAGCGCAACCCCAGCCCGTTTATACTCGCGGTAGTTTTGACGGGCTCTGGAGCATCCCAGTGTCAAATGTTGTCATGCGACAGGAATCCTGCAGTGCAGCTGGAGGGGAAGGAGAGCAAAGTCACCTTACAGCTCTCCGTGCCCATGCCTGAGGAAGTAGGGCGTCCGTTCTTGTTTGATGTATGCACATAAAGAGGTCAAGCGGAGAGAGTATGGCCTCGGCACTTGCTTCCCATAGCACAAAAATAACTCCAAGTAACCCGGTTTCAGCTGAAGTTGTTTATTACTCATCCTCCTCAATGAACTGTTGAAAGGGAGGATGGTGCTTGTGTGCTCTGGGATTTGGTGTAATTGCTGCTTCTGAGGTTTGTCTAAGTGTCCTTAACGCTGGTAATGAGCAACGGGAGGGGATGAGGTGAGGTGCTGATGAGAACGGTGTTAAAAGGGTTTAGTGAGGTCTAATGTGCGGCAGGTAGTGCATCTTGCCCCATTCTGTCTCCAGTCTTAAACAGCGAAGGCACTGGGGGTGGTGTCATTGTGAGCTTTTAATGGGGACAATCTAAGAAGTTCAGCTCTATGGCATTTTTGCAGCTCTTCAGCCTAATCCCTCGCGCATGCAGAGCGAGGAGTTTGTTATAACCGAGCCTTGTAATGACTTCTCTGTGATCCCGTGATGAGAGGCTGCAGGTGGGATTTTGCAGCGGGCGGCCGGTCGTGCCAGCGAAGCGGCAGCCGGGAGCAGCGGCGGGACCTTCTGTGGGCTCCCCGCTCCCAGGGGCGCAGAGAACAAAGCCGCTCTCTGGAGCAGGGCGGGCAACGGGGAAGCAACAGACGGTGCCAGTGAGGTCCGTGATACTGGGCTGCTAGAAGTTTGCCGCTTTTTCTGATTCTGGTATCTTCAGAAGTTGTGGACGTGTGTGGGGGAGGTGGGGAGTTGCTAAATCAGTGCACCAAAATCGGTGCACGTCTTGTTAAAGCTGGTACGTTAAGCTGTTAGATGCAACCTCGCCCTTTTACTGGATCTCCGATGACTCCAAAGGGCTATTCCTATAAGAATATAGAAAGCAAACAGTTGCAGAATGATAAAGTTAAGCTGGATATAGACTGATTTCCCATGTAGGCTACTTATGCAGAGTCTGAGGTGCACAGCTCTATTATTTACTGAGACTGGTTTAGTTTGGAACGCTACGAAGAACGTCAGATAAATCCTGATCCAGTAAACGTGTTTAGACTTGACAAGAAAACAAATGATGAGTCAGGAAGGAAAGCTCATTCTTGGCGTGTCTAGCAAGTGAGGCAGTAAAAAAAGAGCTGAAATCTGGAGCTCTAAGGGCTGATCTCTGAACAAGTGGAAAGGTGAGTCTAAGATACCGGTGAGTCTGGCAATAAGTAGCTTCTGAATTTTCTGCAAGCCCCGCTAAAGCTGCTGCTGCCCATGGTCTCCCTCGCAGGGAGTCGCTGGTCCCGTTTTCCTCCCGGCCGGCTGCGGGTGCAGCCCAGGGGAGAGGGTGGCTGGTGCCAGCCTGGCGCGAGACCCTCGCCGGCGGAGCCTGTGGGCAGCAGATCCCCACGCAGTCGGTTCCCCAGCCCCCATGTCTGTAACCTGCAGACAACAAACCCCATTAGTGTTAATGGGTGGCACAAAAAATAATTCAGCCCCGAAAAGCACAGTGAAGAGAGTGGTGGTTGTAGCGGGAAGGACGCTGGCTGGGGACGGTGTTCAGCAAACTGTAGGTAGTGCAGCGGCAGCAGGGTCAGGCTGTGTTTCGAAGGCGTTCTGGGAGCAAAACAGCTCGTCGCAGCAAAAAGCCAAGCCATAGATGTATGACATTTAAAAAACGAGAACCAAACTATCCATATTTCATTACTTTTTAATTGCTGTCTATCTCTGCTGTGCCGCACAGCGCAGGGTGATTTTTCTCCTTGGAGACCTTGGTCTAAAAGGCTCTGACCTGTGTGGGTGGAGGGCGAGTGCCACCCGGCAGCGGCGAGGGCAGGCAGAGAAGGGATGCTGAAGCACGGTGAAACAGCAGTGACCGGCTCTGCGCTTTGGGCAGCCAGCCTCGTACGAAGCGTGTGTGTCTGGCAGTGAACCACTCCGGTAGCAGCAGAGGAAGAACTCTGCTGTTTCCCCAAAAGATACCAGCTTCCAACAGAAATGTGCTGCTGGGGGGTGCTGCTGGGGGAAACCAGCGCTGATGCTCTCTCCTCTCCTCTCCTCTCCTCTCCTCTCCTCTCCTCTCCTCTCCT